TCATTGACTGCTGTAAAACGTCTCCTAGTATGTTGTTGGGGGATATTAGCTATATATATATATATATATATATATATATATATATATATATATATACAAACCCTTTACCCGAAGTACAGAAAGCACAAGACCCACCAGAGAGTCACCAAATAGCGCTTAACTACTACCGGACTAGGAGAACACCAAAATAGCCGAGGCTACAATTAGCGTAAACAAAACGCTAATCCTCTTCTCGCCTCGGTGGAGAACGGAACATGGACATGGAAGTTAGAACACGGAAGGTGGAACGTGGAGAGTCAGTGAGGCCTTCTGGAATATGCAAATGACCATTCAGAGTGAGTTATTTTATGGAGAGGTATAACTTTATTTGCATTGCTCTAAAAAATATGGTTGTACGTTTCATTTGTTTTTAGCTGATGGAGCCATCTGCTTACTTGAATTATGTTTTTGTTTCTTTATTTGAAAAAACACAGATGGAGGAGCCACAAAATTCAACATGGACCATTTTGTTGGGGCATGAACGTCTTTTTTCACATTTCCAAAGTACTCATGGACACGCAGCCCTTCAGTATTGTGGATGATTCAGGGCATTTGTGTCCAAACTGGATCCTCATCATGTTCTCCCTACAAGGCAGGTATGTGTGGGTGCATGAAACACATAAGTACTTCATTGTCTCACAGTTCAGCACTAGATGTGTTTTCCTTTAGGCTCTGCAGGCCGTGGTGGAGGCTGAGTAGGAGTCAGCTAAGGAGAAGGCTAAAGTGGAAAAGGTGGCTGCTGTTAGCCTTACTTCTGACATGTTGACATCCATCAGTATGGATGCCTACCTGGCTGTAAGGTGCCACTTTGTGGGGGAGAAAACCACACTGGGTTCAGTGCTTCCCCCGATCACACACTGCTGAACATATAGGTCGTGTGAAAGCCTCCCTGATGGAGGAATGGGGAATCGATCATAAGGTGACGTGTGTGGTCACTGATGGTGCTCACAATATGGTTTCCTGTGTGAGAGCTGAAGCTTCGGCACCATATTTTATGTTGCACACTGAATCTGACAGTGAAGAAGGGACCTGAGCAGCAGCCGGTGCTCTCTAGCATCCGGGCCAAAGCACGGAAGCTGGTTGGCTTCTTTAGGAGCAGCACCACTGCTAAGGTTTGCTCTTTCCCTTTATCCCGATTTCTAATAACGCTGAGAGTTTGTCTGTGTTCCTACTGCAGTGAGTCAATGGCTACTCATCTGTATCTTTAAAGGAGAAGCTGACACAACTTCATCTGGGGACGGCAAACATGAAGCTAATGCAAGAAGTGGAGGCCAGATGGAGCAGCACATGTTGGATGCTGCAGCGTTTGGTGGAGCAAAGGGAGCCAGTAGGAGCAACATGACATCACCTTCCTACAGCAGAAGGGTTCCACATTGTTGGAGGGTGCCTTTCTTTGCTGTCTCCCCTCTATGATCCACTGTAGAGCTGTCGGCAGAGGACAATGTGTCTGTCTCCAAAGTCGTCCCCCCCGTGAAGATGCTGGAGCACACCCTTCAGAAATAACAAAGCCGGCACCTGCAGCAGCATTGGAAGTGTGAGACCAGCTCATCAGGCCACTCCGGGAGAAGCTGTACACTTTGTAGTCCATGAGCATCATGTCAGGGGGGGTCGGCTCACTGAGTCCTGAGGCCCTGCATCCGGTATCATCTGCCACTGAAACATACGTCCGGTCGCCCGGCCTGCACCAGAGGACCACAGAAGGGAGAGGAGAAGCGCTTGATGGCCGCTGACCAGGCGTGAAGAACTCGTCGGGGGGGGGAACGCTCTAACGGGCAAGACAGACACGGTGCTCCTGCTGGGGGCGAAGCAGCATTAGCACGGTGCACTTACGTACCCCATTCTCATAACATGTTCCTGGGCAGATACTGTACGTTAGGAGACCCCTAAATGGATCATTTCAAGCGTTTGGGTCCTGATGACTGATCAGAAAGACCCACAGGGAGCCTCAAACCCTGAATCTACGTTCCCTCACCGAGGCCTCTTGGCCTCACCACACCACGCGTCCCATCCTGTTGGCGTGGTGGGACGGCGAGTGGTCGATGGCGGGGAAGCGGGGGTCTCAAAGAGCAGGCCACTCTGCAAGCACTGCCTCTCCAGGGTGGAGTACCGCTGCCCGTCCAAGGCCTTCAAGTGAACCTTCTGCAGCCCTGAAACGACCAGGAAGGACCGGACTTCAACATGGAACAGCACACACATGGTTACGCATCACAAACGCTGCGTTCCATCACACAATACTGGTTTCTATAGAAACAGGGAGGCAGCTTCCCTCCCTGCGCTCACTCCCACACACAGCAGGATGACATACAAATCCAGCTTTTTAGACCTCGACAGTGGAAGCCCTGTTGGAGTAGGAGGTGGATTTGTGCTGCTGCCTCCAGCCCGTCTGGACTGTAAATCCAAACATCCTATTTAATTAAAAATAGTAAATTGACTTAAATTAGTTTTATGAAATTGCTATTAACACTCACTTTTAGTAAATTACTTGTAATTTATGGTTGGAAAATCTCACCAGCTCAGTCTGCTTGAGTTGGATTAATTTAGAAAAAGTAAGTTTTTGATAATTGTGCTTTTTTCCTGTGTTGGAATGTAGCTAAGTACATTAACTCAATACTGCATGAAAGTACAAAGTACTTGAGATTTTTTTCATATTACTTTGTACTTTTACTCCACTACATTTTCAGAGGGAAACGATATATGTTTTAATAATATAGGTGATATATAATAATAATAACCACAAGAGACATTTTCCTCTATATACTACTTTTTACTTTTAATAGTTCAAGTATTTTTTTTTTGTGGTCATATGTTTTTACTTAATTGAAATTTTCACTGCAGGACGTGTACTTGTATTGTAACAGAGTAGTTTCACGGTAGTTACCACGGAGTGGTAGAAGTACTTTTGCTTCTTTTTTTTCAAACTATCGGCGCAAATCCGTCCTCTCTCCACGTGACGGTCCGAGCCCGCGACGACCAACGCGGAGCTGAACTTACTGGAGGAGCTGCACCGAATCTCTGCACCGGCACTTTGCACCGTTTATCAGCCTTCTTGTGCTTGACACGCTCATTTGATGAGTAATATTTGACTCTTGTTTAGACCGTTTTCTTTCTGTATGTAAGCGCCATGTTTTTCGTGCTTGCTAGTAGCCTAATGGTGTGTGTAGTAATGTCGGATAACGCTAGCTGGTAACGTTGGATGAAGCTTGGTCAATGCTTTATTATTATTCTATATCTCTTCATCAGTGTTGTAAATAGGGAACATTAAGGACTGTCACGGTAAAGTTGAGGAGAAACGTTAGTGTAACGGTCGCGGGCGTGCTGTCACGTGCATGAACACACCTGCTGTCGGAGAGGTTTTTTTTTCTGAGACCAACGATTTATTGAGCACTGACTCCCGATGAGAGACTGATTCCGGCGGTTTGTGAGTGTCCATGAACAGGAGGACATTCACATGGCAGAACACCAGAGCAAGTCTTGATATATCATTTTAGTTTAAGCTAGTTTAAGCTAGCCTGCTAGGTTTGGCACTATGCTAACTTAGCTAAATTTAGCCACCAAAAAAGCAGTCTGCGCTTGTCAAAGACAGTGGGTGACTGGGAATATCACCACAGTCAACTAACTTAATGCTATTTTATTTAACCCTATTTTATCAAACCCCCAATGTATTTAGCTCACTTTCCATTGTAGCTCGTGTACCGCGCCCACAGTTAGTAGCGCAGCGCTTGTCTGGTTACAGAGGAACGCAGTGAGACTCCCTATCTGAAAAGATCTTAACACCCAGTTTATCAAAGGGAACGTTTACTCAGTGGCCTAAGTTATCCTTTAAGGTCATGTTGTCTAGAATATGTACATTCTAATGCTGTCTTTGTGGGTAATAGGCCTATGATACAGTTTTTACTTGTACTGGACTCAAGATGTTTGTGAGTTGTGGTCAGCTTTGGTTGTGTTAAATTGTTCTATTCTTTTTAACTGTCCCCTTACAGGCTCAGCATATAGTGATCAATCCACAGTTCCCTTAATGTCCAGCCGCATAAGTGAGTTGTTTGTCATTTACCTTTTGTACTGCAGTGTTCATTTGGTAGCTGACAATTAGATACATTTTTCGATTTATTTTTCTATAGCTCTGGTATTTAAAATCTGACACTGCATGTTAATGTGTTTTCTTTCTATTTTGCTGGCCTTGATGTTAAACTTATCTTTTCTTACCTTTTTAAGAAGACAAAAAAAACTTCCCATGCAGTGGACGTGTAAGTACTGCACATTTTGTGCTGAAGAGAGGGGCTATTTACTTAAGCGTAATGCATGGGTGCCACACCCGAATATCACCACTACCGTCCCTTTTTATACTAACCCATAGCCTTAGCCTTATTCTACTAACCCATTGCATTAGCATTCCATTCCACTTTATTTTATTACTTGTGCACTGTTGTCTTGTCTGTCTACTGTCGCGCGCTAATCGCCAAGACAAATTCCTTGTATGTTTGACATATTTTGGCTAATAAATGTTTCCTGATTCCTGATTCCTGATTCATAAGGAGTGTCTGTGCACATTTAAATCTTTCAATGCACTCAAAGTCCACTTATCAACATGGCACACTCAAAAGGACCTAAGGAACGTGAGTGAAACTGCTTTCCATTGTAAAAAAGGAGCCTGCTGTACACAACATGGTTGAACGATGGCCAGCACTCTTCACAGAGCGACAGGTAAGATATTTTTGTTCTCAACCAATAAAATAATGCCAGTCAAAAATACATTTAAGGTGTGTGGCTAGAAATCCAAACACAGTTGAAATGTTAACACCTCTCCATCCCTACCCACCCCTCTCTCTAACTTTTTAAGTTTAATCGAATCGCCAGTAAGAATCTTGAGGGAGACTTCTTTGAGGCTCTGGACCAGTACACCCCGCGGCTCATAGACATTTTCAAAACAAAAAAAGGAACTGTTGGCCGGAAACTCAGTGAGCTGATGCAGCACATGAGCTGGATGGTAAGTAGGTTAATTTTGCTTTTGATCTGTATGATACTTCATCAATCAAGTTCTAAATGAGATGATCCAGACCAACCTGTTCTATTTTCTGTCTGACCTATGCGTTTGCCAAATAACTCAGTTAACTGGTCTTTTCTCTCTCTCTGTATCATTAGACACCAGACGTGACAGTACTTCGCTCTGTTGTCCTCAAAGGCATTTTGATAATATTTGGTGACAACGCCAGTGAATTCTTCAAGACATGCTCTGTAAGTACTTACACATAAGTAAAAGTTCGGTGTGTATTAATATAAAACTACCTGTGCCGACAGAAGATGTGATTCTATCTGCACAATATACAACATAGATTTTGTATAATAATGTGAGAGGTATTTAAACAGCCTGTACATAAACATGTACATTAATTCATTTTAAATCTAAGGAGCAGAAGTCAAGGTTAAAAGGTCGGTTCAAGAATATATGGACCTTGTGGACACCAGCTTCAGTTTAACCATACCAAACTTATTTTGTTGGACAATCCATGTGAACACATATTTAAAATCATATTCTCTAGCAAATGCTTTTAACACTAAAAATTAGTGTTTTAGAAGAGCATAAATTGCCAATACTGACGAATGTGTGTGTGTGTGTGTGTGTGTGTGTCTGTCTAGGATACAGCAAGAGACGAGGCCCTAGAATGCATCACTGTTGGTGTGTTGTCAGTGAAGATCCTCACGAGGGTCCAAGTTCAGTGGACCTCCAGCCCATCTCCACTGCCATCATTCTGGAGGGAGGTATCGTCATGGATCACATTAAAAACTTGCCTCAGGCAGTTTGTCTGTTATTTGGGCTAACATATGCTTTGCATTTGGATTACCCAAAATGCTTTGCAAAGACACTCAACTTCATTCAGACTGTGATGCTTGGACTGGGAAAGAAAAACCTCCCACTAAAACTGTTAACTCTGAAGAACAGTCTCCTGGATTAGACTAGTAAAGAGCTAAATCAGCTGTCAGAAATTTAAAAGTTATAATAATGTTCTCCTGTTATTAGATAAAGTTTGATGCTTTCATGCAACTTGTTTATCTTAATTTAAAAAAAAAATCATTCAAGTCTGTACCATGTTATGCTGGTATGCTAAATAGTGCCACTGAAGTCCTGTAGTTATCAGGTGTTTACCTGTTTAACATTGTGAGACTGTTACATGCATAGAATTAGTTCACAAAAATGTGGCGTCCATGTCATGGTACACAGTCCAATCAAACCACAAGTTATAAGTTATTTGTCTGCTGTTTAGATTCTTGGGAACAGAACACCGCTGAATAATAGTAATTGTATTGATTATTGTAAGGTTATTACATGAGTAAATGTTATATTGGAGAATTGGAATCAGAAGTAATAAAAAATGTCAAATGTTTTTTGTTCAGCCTCGACCTGTAAATGATGCAATTTTCTTTTTTTTATAATAAATGCATCTGAATCAACCCAGAGAGTGTTCTTTTAAAGTATATTGTTGTGGTGTTTTTGCCTTTATTAGGTAACAACAGCTAAAAATAGATAAGAAATAGGGGAGAGAGAGAGAGAGAAAAGAGACAAGGACCCATTCAAGGAAATTAGTTTGTTTAATTTAAGTGAACTCAAAAAATGAGTGAGTAGTAAGTTGTAGGTATTTAGTAATTCTAAGGGGTTAAATTTGTATCAAGCAGTCCAGACAAAATGAAAAAATTAAGTTAACACTAAGCATTGTTATTAAGTTACATGAACTTAATTTTTTTGTTTTAGTTGTACTACTTGATTCAGTACTGCACACTTAAAATGAACAAGCTTTTCTAACTCACTAATCTTAAGACTACTGAGCTTAATTTTTTTGAGGCAACGAGTTTGCATACTTTTTTTAAGTATGGTCAACTAATTAGATTTTACAGTGTGGATTCACATCACATCTGCATTCAATTCCAAACAAACCTCCTTCTGTTTTATATGAACCATTATATGGTTTAAAGGATTCATGGGTTCATGCATTAGCATCATCAACAGAGGTGTCAAGTAACCAAGTACAAATACTTTGTTACTGTACTCAAGTAGAAATGTTGGGTATCTATACTTTACTGCAGTATTTCTTTTTCAGACCACTTTTTACTTCAACTCTTTACACTTTCACGCAAATATCTGTACTTTCTACTCCTCACATTTTAAAAACAGCCTCGTTACTTCCGGCTTGTCGCAGTTCAACAACACAAAGACAAAAAAACGAGATAAATCCAGATAAACGTCGCTATGCGGACAGTGAGTGTGATTGTGGTTGGATGAGAATATAAACATTTAGCATCCAGACACCCGGTTGGTTTTCTCCTCCTCCTCTTCCTCCTCCTCTTCCTCACGCAGAGTCCATGTAACGTTAGATGAGCATCTTCATGACCGTGGGTTTGTCCTAAATGTTTGATTGAGAGTCCGGCACAACACAGCGACTTGCAAGCAGCGTATTAAATAAAGTGACGTGTGTCTTAATGCGGCTTTGGAAATGAACACAAAGGGATTCTGTATTTGCTCGTGAAGCCTGAACATTCTGCTTATGTTGTAAAGTTGTAAATATAGTCAAGAAGAGTGCTTTGCAAAGGTGTCTGTTCTCTAATCTCTGTGCTGCTGAGGGAGAAGAACACACTGGGCTACTGGACCATTCTGAGGGGCGACGGCTTTCACGGGGAACTACGCAAATCTATTGGGGAGTTTTGACTTTTCCAAAAGCGCACAGAGCTGGCTGCACTTTTCACTGACAATGTGTCACCAAACTTTCATATCTTGCTGACGTTTTCGCTGAGTTGAACCAACTAAACAGTTCCATGCAAGGTGGCAATACACACGGCATCAGCTGTGTGACAGAATGGAAGGCTTTCTCATCGGGGAGGGAATATCTTCCATGTTTCTGTCAGTGGATGAGCTGGGGGATTCTGCTGTGCTCTCGCCTCCCGCAACACGCGCAATTCTTGTGGAGGCGCTGGAAGGACAATGTGGGAAGTACTTTTCTGAGGCTGACTCCCGGCGCAGGGACAAGGCTTGGAGACAGTTTCCATCCAGAGACAACGCAGCAGACGGCACACGCCTGACAGTGACAGAGGAGGATCAGCTCATCCAACTATCCACTGACCGTACGTTCAGAAACATTTACCAAACCAAACCACACAGTTCTGGATCTCTGGCCACAAAGACTTTCCACAACCAAAAGCAATGATGAGCCTTTTGCCCTTTGCAACAACTTATCTTTGCCAAAGTGGATTTTCCTCCCTCACCTACCTGACAAACCAATCCAGGTCAAGGCTGCAGCCTGAGGCTGATACGACCCTCTGCCTGACAACGTGCATCCGTCCCAGGTCACATAAGTCGTGTGCTACACATCAGGGTCAGACAGCTCACTGATGTGGGAGTATGTGTGCCATCCACCGATGCTCGAGGATTCACTGTCCCTTCTTTATGTGGGTTAAAATAACAACAGAAATCTGTGAAATATCGTAATAAGTTGTTATTAATATTTAGCTCAGAGTTGTTTGCAAGATGTCTGTTTTTAAATGGCAGCGGCACGGCCACCCTGTACCTTTCATGTTAAATGTTAAGTTCAATTCAATGTTAAATAAAAATCTTAATGAACATATTAAGCTGTGTATTATTTGAATAGCTTAGTATTGGATGCACAATAACGGGCTATGTTTATGTGGCACTAGGCCCAGTACATAATAATCCCTGCTCCATCTCGCCATCAGTTTGGGGGCCTGAAAAACGTTGAAGACCCCTGGTGTAAAGCATTCCTACAAGGTGAGAAATAACATGTGGAGGAGGAACAAAACCTCCGCTGAGGATGAAATAGTGACGAGATGTCGACTAATTCATGATTGACAGACTATGCAGACAACCCCCCCCAGAGAAAACAACAACAACAAGTCAAGAGTCAGAACCTCCCGCAGTGGAGGAGGAGAAAAGCTGGAAGGAGAAGGCGTCCAATCACAGATGAATACTGGCGAGGCGCAGTAGAAGGAAACAAAGGGCCCCTTGCAGCAGACTCATAACACACTGTGTGATACGCGGCGTAACGCAGTGTGTGTTCATCTGCAGCTACACTTTGGGCTCCGACGTCTTGGTCCAGGGTAACGGATCAGACTGAAGAGCTTTTGTGGGAAGAAATGCGTAAATATGAGCCGTCATTGGCGGACTATGAGGACGCCGGATGGCCTCTGATTCATGGAGGGAGATCTCCACAAACGAGGGAGCAAAGTCGTGGAGGAAAATACGGGACAAATGTGTCCTTGATGAGAAGCAGCAGTGTGGATGCACGGGGCAATAAAGTCTATGATCAATAAATAAAGCCACCAGCGACTTCCACACACAAAGACGTGACTCTCCAGGTCGTCTTCAACAAAACACGTGACTCCACCTGTTGTTCTGGAGGTGAATCGCTCTGCAACACACGCAGGACTTTACAAGCAGGAAGTGAAACCAGCGCGTCGACGCAGACGCAGAAACACGCGGCGGCCTTTAGCCTGGGGGGGAACAACTGTTCAGGCTAGAATGCAGATGTTTGTTTACTCTGTCTCTTTTGTTTCTGCTTGTTGGACTGTGTGTGTTTATTGTTGGTTTTTCTTTCATGTTTTGTGTTCTGGCTCCTTTGTAAAAGTGGAATAAAGGATTCTTTAAACCTCAAACCTCTCTCTCTCTCTCTCTCTCTCTCTCTCTCTCTCTCTCTCTCTCTCTCTCTCTCTCTCTCTCTCTCTCTCGGTGCATGCTGGGAGTGAGTGTGTGTGAGCGTCTTTGAGCGGTTTCCTCTCTTTGTTTTTTCCCTTAGTTATATATATTAATGTAATGTGGCTTAGTGGTTGTTTCTCACTTTAGTCGTTGTGGTTTTTCTTTGGGTTTCTTTTCTCCTGCCGGTGTCTCGCCGGTCGGCGTCTCTAGACGGTAAATGGAGACACGTTCTCCCAGCTCACGAGGAAGCACGGCATTAAGATCGCCGCGGGCTTCCCGTGCAGCGTGGAGGACATCGGGCTGTGGGGGAGAAGGTCGGGCACGGCAGCGTTAAGTCGGCCGCTTGGATGAACGGGGCCGTGGTCATCTTCTCTGGACCAGGTGGAGAAGGTGAAACGAGTCGTCGAGGCGCCTCACGGTGAATGAAATGTTTGTGCAGGTGTTGCCACTGACACAACCGGCACGAAGGGTGGTTCTATCGAACGTCCCTCCGTTCATCACCGACGAATTCCTCAGCAGAGAGCTGTCCAGACACGGAAAGGTGGTGTCACCGATCAAAAATCTTGTCTGGATGCAGGTCTCAGTTTACTGAAGCCATGTGAGTGTCTCACCGCAGAACACCTTTATATGATTACTTAACAACCCGGAATGTGGAGCTGCAACCTCCGCTTCCCCGTGAAGGGTGGATGATTACGAGTACGTGATTTTTGCATCATCGTCTCCAGCCGCGGGAGGTGGGCTGCGGCGTCCGTGAGGCCGTTTCCGGTTCCGCGGGCCGCGGGCCGTTGCGCTGCTGTGTCTGACCCCCACGGGGTGAGTATGGAAGATGTGCACAGTGTAAATGAGGGTGTTTTGGTGGGTGAGAGAGGAGCTTTGGGTGAGGTGGCACAGGGTGAGGATGGAGGGGAAGGAAAGGAAAAGGGTGAGGGGGGGGTTAGTGTGGAACAGGAGTCAGGTGCCATAGAGGCACAGTTGGGGGGAGGACTGAATGGGGGGGTGGAACAGGCAGAGGAGGTTGAGATGGTGGAGGAGGAAGCAGGAGAGCAAAAAGCTGCAACAAAAAGAAAAAAAAAGAGGCAAGATACAGGCAGCGAGGCAAAAGCCAGCAAGGTGGGGGAGGAAGAGGAGGCCATGGGGGGTCAGGGGCCATCTGACGGCAGTGAGAGTGAGGGCTGTGTGTCGGACAGCAGCGACATCCACAGCGCCTGTCTGACACACAGCCAGCGGGAAAAGCTCTACTCCGCACAGCAAATCAAAATGTTTTTACAAAAAGTCAAAAATAGGAGAAATCTTAAAATCGAGGAGTTTTTCCCGACCTGGTGTGTTTTTATAACTCAGCCAGACTCCGCATGAGCCAGCGAGAGGAGTCTGGCTTCACAGATCAAGAGGGTTTTAGACTAAAAAAAATTGTGCTAAAAGCAAAACGAGCAATCGATGATCACGAAAAAAGCCCCAATGTGTGTTTTAATTGATTTATTGGTTTTATTTTTATTTTTTATCATGGATACTTTAAAAGTGGGAAGCCTGAATGTGAACGGAGCCAGAGATGCCAAGAAGAGGGCAT